CGCGACATACTGGCTCGCATAGGTTCAACAGTTCGCCTCGGTCATTTGGTTTGAATCCGAAATACTCCTACACTGCAGCTGTTGCGCTCGACTTTGAAACCAGTTCCATTTTGAGTTTCCCCCCCCGACATAAGATGTTTTTTTTTTTTTACCTCGCTAACTCCTCTAACTCCTCACGGGGTTCTAAAGCTGCAGAAGTACAAATGCGCTCTAACTACCTGATGCGATAGTCCACTCTTCCTCCCTCCTCAAACATGAGGAAGGGGAGGGGTCAGTGGATAGCACTGGGGTTAAGCCTTTTCATCCAGCGTCATCAATAGAAAGGGAAAAACACAGGCAGAGACGATATAGCCAATAAATTAAATAACGTGGATAGTTTTTATTTATCGTGCGATTAATTGATTTATTGATTATTGCGACAGGCCTATCAACAAGCATTCCAATAAACACATCAAATGCAATCTGAGCGTCAAAAATGCGTCGAATGCCTCAATTTAGACGTTGGTGTATTTTGAAATGAGACGCTCTGGATGTTTTGGGCACCGAGCTGCTCTGTTCCTTTGCTTGCGATTTGAAAGAGTCCGCTGGCGTTATTCACTTTGATGAGTTGGAAACAAGTAGTTTGAAGAGGTTTTTGCATGAGAACATTCGAGACTGAGAAAATTATACATCATCAGTTTGGATATCACTGGAAAAAGGAAAAGTACCAAAAATTGTTCCAGCAGTGATTTTAACTTGGGACAACATTTGCCTCAGGTTTAGAGAATGCCACAGCAACAGGTGATGAATCCATCTTCAGGCTTTATATAGATCTTTACCAGCAGTGCCAACCAATGTAAGAGGCCCTGCATTTCATTTGTATGAAACTGCTGCCTCACATTGTGCTGTTTAGAGCTTGCTCTTGGGTGGCCGAGTGTTTGCTTGTAATCCCTGGCTGCCGTGCCTCTAGGACAAATAGCTGTATTTATTGCATTTAGCAAACAGAGAGCTTGAGAATTATAGGCAGTGGCCCAATGGCGCAGTATGCATCCAGTGACTGTCTCCAATGCTGGAAAGCCCCCAGCAGGAAAAGTGTAAACAAACACCAGTCAAGTGCTCCCAGCTTCTAACTGACCCCTAAACGGTTGGATGAGGACAGGTTCTGCCAGACGCTAAGACAAACACTGCTCAGAAAACAGTGGGAGATTACAGTGAAAGTAACTGGGACGCCAAATTTTATCAAAAGAGAAGCAGAATTTTTACTTTAAATTCCCATTCATCATAGCCATTATGCTTTTTTGTATATTTTTAACTGATGTTAGAAAAACCCTGAAGACCATAAAAGAGCCGCACTTTACTCTAAAGGGGAAATAAAGGACAGATGGCAAAGAGATCCTGCAGACAAACAAAAGCTTGATAGGAGCAAAGTTAAGAGATGGATGATGATGGGAAGAGAGGAAAGGAGTTAATGATTGGTTTACATCCAGAGCTTCAAGCACGGGTACCAAAAATCAAAGTAAAGCGCAATGAAAAGGAGGAAGGGAATGGAAGAGAAACATGAGAGAGGATGATTGTAAGAGTAGTGAAGGGGCGTATGAAGAGGGGGCAGGTCAGGTTGTGACCCTCTGTCTCCCATGGCATCTGTAATTAAGGAGAGTAAGGGGGGGCTAGCAGCGACACTGGAAGGAAACAGGCGACATGATAATCAATTTGAGACTGAATCGGAAACATGAGCTCTCTGGTGTGGTGGGGGGCCGGTCCCCCCCCCGCCAGGCCTCCAGATGGCCCAGGCCCCAACCGGGTGCGAGCCCTGTCGGAGCACGCTGAGTCTATGTTAATGTTTGAGTGTGTCTGTGTTTCTGAGAGACAATGCCATCTGCCAGGAGTGCAACAGGAGTTCAGCAGATCTTCTGCCAACACTAGGGGGCGCTGTGGAGCACAGCGGCGCACTGAATGGACCTCCACCTTCATGGCCATGGGGTTGGTTTAGTTTGACATCAGCTGCTGAAGGATTTGAATGTTTAATATCTAAAATATACCAAGCTAAGTGTCATAAGACTTGTTTGAATGGCTGGTTTGTAGCAAAATATAGGTGCAGCTTTCAATTATATGCTTTTATAAATATGGAGTGAATTTTGTTCTATTATTGTTCTGAGCAAAGAACATGTTTTTCTAAATAGAAATAAATAAAAAATGCAATCTAGAAATTCAATTTGAAACACTTCCTAATATAAAAAAGTTTTAAAAGTAACTTTGCTTTTTTTCTTTTCTTTTGATAACTTAGATTTTTTCATATTCTTTTCTTTTAAACTTCAGTTTTACATATTGCAATCTTTTCCAATTTGATTTTATAGACCACATTCTCGTCACTTTTTGGGGTGGGTTTTTTTTTTTCCTGGAGTGAGGAGCGAAGACGCCTTTTCATTGGTCTGCATGATGACAGCGAGGGCCAGCTTTAGTATTGGGCTTAAAGTGAAGAGAATGCTTAAAAAAAAATCAGTTTAGATATGTTAGACTACCCAGAATCACTTCTTTCTAAAAGGAAAGTAGTTCTAACATCAGTGTAAATTTAGAAATGAAAACTGAATTAAAGTTTTAGGAGAACAGGATCAAAATAGTCAGAGTTTGTGTTTTCTGAAATAACCACAAAGGAAAGTGTAGTTTTCCAGAAAAAGTGAATAATCAAATTCCACAGCTCTTAAATATAAGAGTGTTTTGCACTTATATTTATAAACTAAGCCAACAGTAGTTAAACCTATTCCAAAAAAGTTCAAAATCAATCCACTGGACTTTGTTTCCAAGTTTGAAGACGTTTCTCTTCCCAACCAGGAGGCATTTTAAATTCAAAATGTCAGAAATAGCGTTGAGTTCCAGGTTTTATCCAGCAGCCCAACAAAGCCTGGTTTTAGTTTGGAAAACATGCAAATAGAAACCGATGAACGGGTCCAACCTTTGGAATGGGGGTCGTTTGGCTTCTTTGTTACCCTGCAATGCCCCATACCTGTCTATGTCTCTGTCTATGTAGTTATACCTGTTCCACTACTGTGACTGTCTAGTGAAGAGCTATTATTCAGGGTTCTTTTAATGATGTTGTTATCTTTAAATAGACTGTTCTCTCTTTGGGAGTCAAAAGATGTGCGAAAGCTGCCCATAGTTCAAGCTTAATTAGACTCTTTCCATAAACCTTTAAACTTTCTTTTTAAATACAGGCCGTCAACTCTTTAAAGACATGATTCCTGAATCATTTTATGTTTCAAAACTTAACAGAGAAGGATAACAGATACTTTTGGGTTTAATTATTAAACAAAACCATAGTAGAAACAGTAAAATAAACACAAAAAAGGTGAAATAATTGTTGTCTTTTTTTTAGAGAGAACTCTTTAGATGTATTCAATGCTAGTTTTATTCCATAATGTAATGGGAGTTTCTCTGTGTTTGTTGGATGTTTAAAGTGTGGTGTAAAAAAACTCAGATGGTCCAGGGCAATGAGATCAGCAAATATGGCATTTAAGATGAGTGTGAGAATAAACTCAGGTCTCGTTAAGAACAGCTCATGGATTTTGACTCTATGGTAGCTTTTCCCCCTTTTGTGAATAGTGTTGTTTATCTTCTGAATTTGAAAGATTCTGGTTCAATTTCCGATTCCTGGTTTTGATTCGAGGAATCAGAATTTGAACCAAAGATTGATTCAATTTTTTTCGGATGTGGGGTCAAAATAGTTAACATTTTTAAAGGAGCTGGCTAACCAGAGTTGTTTCTGGAGGAAACATTTTAAACCTTTTCATGAATTCAAACTGTTAACTTTGAATAAATATTACACAAAATTAATACACCTATTTTCAAGGTGCATATTGATATCAAACATATAAACTTCAATTTAAATCTTTTGAAATTTGGGTCAGGCTAAGGAGCTTTCTACATATAAAACAATTAAACAACAAAAACCTATAAACAATATTTACTCGTGCCATACAGTATAAGACGATTTTATTATTTTATTTACGGTATTCTGACTCTGTCATAGTTGTAGGCTGAGTTTTAGAGATGGAGGATAAAGCATCATGTTGTGCTAAAGAAGGCATCCATGCAGAGTTTTTACCTTCAGTGTTCTGAGTCTAACGCTAAACAACAAATTAAAAACAGTCCTTGAACGATTCTGGGAGAAATTAAAAGGTAGAACCAGTTCCAGTCAATTCTTGGTGCCCAACCCAATTCACAATAGACATAATGTTTAAGTTGAGCACATGGCTGGTCAGTAGCGGGGAGGATCTATATAGAAAATACTATGAAAGCATGAAATGTGTTTTTGAGGCCTTAGAGCCATAAAACCATCTGAATGCTTAGAGGAAGAAATTAAAAAGGTTGTTTTTGATGTTGAAGTAAAATGCATCCACTCTGTCATCAGCCCTCTTTGCTTCTCTTTCCTTTCCTTAACACATAGTTTCTGATTAACCGCCTGCTTAATCTAACACACAGCTCCCATTAGGTAGCTCAACATAAAGAACTTGCGGTTTGCACCTTGGCCTTCCGCCGCCCTCCTTCTTGCATCTTTGTCACGCCAAGCTTCGCTCTTTTTAATTGATGCTCATTTTGCCACACTTACTTCAGGAGGGAGAAAAGTCTATGGAAACGTTAATTAATGGTGGATCGGGGAGAACAGAGGCAATTAGTGTGAGCTGACAGATAAGTAGTATGCTGATGAATATAGGAGCTCTACATTGACACACGCCGTACAAACACAAATGTTTTCAAAATATAACTATTCAGAGTTTCAGTGATTTTGAGTTGTTTTTTTCTTTGACATGGATGAGAGTAAACATTCATTATGCAGCTGTTTTTATCTCTTTAAATCTCTGCTCTGTCGCTTTGGGAGTTGCGCAGATTTTGTTGCATAAAGATAGGATCAGTTGTTGTTTAACTCATTCAAATCATTTTGTTTCTGTTTGTTTTTTTCTGTAAATATTTAAATATCTTTAACAGTTCCTGCACAAGAGTTTCAGTACATTCGTCTTTTCTCACAGGTGAGCCGGCGGTGGCCCGAGAGAACAACTGCCTGACCGCCGCCAAAGCCTGCAACCTGAACGACACATGCAAGAAGTACCGATCGGCGTACATCAGCCCGTGCACCAGCCGCGTCTCCACCGCCGAAATCTGCAACAAAAGGAAGTGCCACAAGGCCCTGCGGCAGTTCTTTGACAAGGCAAGGCACCTCTGACACTGAATGCAAAACAGCTGTTATCAAGCAAGACTTTTATGTCCTCCACCAAGAAATTGTTTTCAAAAAGAGGAATTTTTTGTCGAGTAGATAAATTAGAGGAACTGTCAAAACTTAAATTGAACCGTCGGCCTTTTTTTGTTTGGTAAGGCTGTGATTTTCGAGCACAAAGTATGTTTTTGTTGTCTTTTTCATTTTCTAAAGTGACGAGCATCATTGTATTGGCGGCCCAGCCCCTATGATGTTCAGCACTATAATCTTGCTGTTTCAACCTGAAAGGAATGAATATAACTACAAAGAATGCACAAGGTTTTTAATGTTAGACTGGTGTATTTTGTTGACTTCTCTGCTTTACCCGACATAAGCAGGCATTGTTTGAAATTTTTATGGCGCTGATTTAAACGGATTGTGTTCTTTTGTGTTGTTTGATTCAGACTATGCATAATAAGCAAGCAGAGAGCGCAGAGAAGTAGCATGCACTCATGCTTGTGAAATCAGTATTTAGTATGCATGTGCACTTTTGATAGAATTCTGACCTCACAGAAAATATTATCAAAATTATTGTATTCCTGTCTTACAAGATGTTACAGTATATAACGCTGAATACATTTCTGGGGGGTTACTGATTTTACATAATAATTCAGCTAAACTTTCTAGAGACAAGAACTATGTGCACAGGTTTAAATTTCCCGGTGAACTAGAAAGGAATTACAAGCCGTCCATTGTCTATAAGCGCTAATTCTAGAAAGGTCGTTGAGGCCTATTTTTCCCTTGGAAGGTTGTCATTCCATCAATTGGGAAACAGCCAGATTGATACTGTGTAGAATTCAAGTTGAACTACTCCAAAGCCTCATGGAGAATGTGCTTGCAAAAGGGACGGACATTCAGTCCAGTTCTTCAAGCTGATTGGGTAACTGTCTCCCATCTCGAGTGTTGAGCCAGCTGCAGCTTCATTTGTTTCGCTACTAGTGGAGTTAACTGATAAATCAAACTCTTACCATATCCAGTTGGGGGAACGGGCAAACATCTTCCAATCCACAAAGGTAAAAATTGCGTCCTTTTCCTCGTTTTTTATAAAAGTAGTACCCGATATTCCACCTATAACCGGCACAGCCATGTTTGTTTTGCTTCAGCCACATGGATGCCCTATTCCTGTGCAACCCAAGTAAGAGTTACATCCACCTTCGCTGCACTAAGTCACACATGTTTCCAATGTGGGTTGAACTCTGTCATCCATCCTGTTAAATGACAAACGAAATGTGTAATTATGGATAGGAGAGTTTATGGTTTCTTAACTGCTGAATATTATCTTTGCTTTTGTAGACGATATATATCCTTGAAGCCATGTCTTTCAGCAGGCACTGGACCCATTTTCTCTTAAAAAAATTGAATAAAAAAAAGACAGATATCCAACCATGTTTTCCAACCATTTTCCAAGTAGACTTTAGGGAGAACATAGAATTGTATTTCCTGTATGACACACTGCATGAAAAGTGAGATTTTCGTCCCCGTAAACCCCCGTAAACTCCCGCAGATCTGCCT